ATGCTCCTAATGAAACCCGGGGCGCCGAGGGGGCTGGGGGTGAGGCAGAGAGGAGCGAGGCTTTCTGTTTTATTGGCATTTGGTAACAACGGAGCAAACTTACCCCGAAGATGCCAACGCTGCAATTTTCCACCATCTAAACACACAGGGGGTAGATTTTGAAATTCATTTATCGCAGTCAGCAAATATTACCGAGACGTATTTCAGTTAATAACGACACCAAACCTGCCCAACTCCAGCGTTACCCCAGCCTGCCTAACCCCCCCGACACCCCCCCAAGCCCCTCGCAATGCCAGCTATATTTCCCAATCCTTCAACCTTCAATAGGAGTTAAAGACTCTTTTAAACCTCTATTTTTTTCCCTGTGCCCTGGGTAGGTTTCTGCTGCTTCCCATTGCATCCGTCTGCGCGGGTTTGACACGAGAAAGGTGAATTAAAGCCGGTTTCCCTCCTGCCTGCTTTCAACTGAGGGACAATTTTCAACCTCCACAACATGGGAAAGATGAAAAAGTTGAAATCTTTCGGTCAGTCTGTCTTGCCAGGGCTTTGGTAAAAAAAAAAAAGACTTGAATTAAAATTGGCAGTGGGAATAGGCAGGGATTGAAGAAAGAAAAAAAGAGAGACAGAAAGAAAGAGAGAAAACAAAGATAGTAGCGGAATAAAACTTTAAAACCATCCTTAGAGGAATAAGTTAAGTAAACACGTTTCCTTTATTTTGTGTAGGGATAATTTAAGTCGAGTCTAAGAGCCTTATCAAGTAATTATTGTTGTTGGAGTACTTGCAATGGTATAATTAAGGCTTTTTCTCCCCTAAAAGATAAGTTAACATTTTATTTTTCTCAACACTTTTATTGTCAATTGAGCAGATTTTGGTTTCATCTTGGACCATAAAACCCCAGAAACGGTGCACAGAAGTAAATAGGGTTTTGCAGCCTGGTGTGGGGATGCTGGATGCTAGAATATTCAAGAAAGTTTTTTTAAAAAAAATCCAGTAAAGTATTTTTTAGAAAAGAAGCTATCTTATTCTATAGGTATTTACAGGCGTCATCTCACCTACTGAAGTTTGTAAAGTAAAAAAAAAAAGCAGGAATTCCCGTTCATACATGGACCCAAGAAGGCGGGAGTGAAGTTGTTCTTGGAAGTTAACATTTTTATCAAGTGCAGTAGAATTTTATGGTCATGGTGTGACGGTAAGTCACCAATGCACCAGAAATCAATGGCCGATCTTAAATCATCCCCATACTGTACTCAGATTCCTGATGAAAGGAAAATGTTTCTATTATAAGAAAAAACAAGTGGGGATGTGTGGATGTGTGTGTGTGCGCCCGTGTGTGTGCCTGCGAGAGAGAAGATAATTTATAAATACCCAGTGGAGAAAAGATTTATTAGGAATTCATAGG